ATAAAAAGTTTATCAGATGATAAAAACTAAAAATCCTTCAAAAATACTACTTTAATCGAGTCAAAAATCTAAAAACTATATTAAAAATAGCATTAAATACATATTCTTGTGAGAACACAGAGGGATCAGAAGTAAAGAATATTTGAACTATCAATGTCTAATCCTTAAAATATTCAACAGAGCAATTAACTTTGATTTCTTAAGTTTGAGTTTGAATCGATATCTATTAAAGTTAATTAAGCATTATTTACTCCTAAAGATTCATTCAAATAGTTATTTGCATTTTTTCCGATCAACATTTTTCAGTTAAATACTATATATACTTATCCAATATTGGTCACTCTTTTGATCTTTGCTTTAAGATAGCCCTTTGCATTTTGCTTTATAGACTAGATTCTTTCGATTTCTGTTTCATTCAAATCTTAATTTGGAAGAACATTTACCTTAAAAGTATATTTATTAATAGCATTAGAATTCTACTTGTCTTTTAAGATCACTGTAATTTCGAAGGTCCCTGTATAACCTAATTCAGGTTCGAATTCAAGTGAGTTTCTTATAACTTTGGTAAATAACTAGCAAACACCTAATTTATACTCGATTTCGTAGCCACTTTAATCAATATCTAAAATATCTGGAAAGAATAGAGTAAATATTTCTCCTTCAATTAATATCTAATCTTTGATAGGTTCAGCAAACATAGGTGCTGTGGTGTTCTTGATGAATTTATCTGAAATTAGGATAATTTGAAAATACATTAAAGGATTAGCTTCAATTGATTTATTTCTATCACTTATAATTGCTTAGACTTTCATATTCAATTCTTAACCGCCTAGAATTTAGTTCAAGCAATGTATTCTAATTGAAAGTGATTACTGATCAAGATATATGCAATTTGGTATATGAAATCCACCTTAGATTTCCATATGATATCTAATTTTATTGCAATTTTCAGGAGTATAAATATGTCTTTCTATCTTTTATTCTATAGGTTCTTAACCTATTACATAGATCATATCTTTTAGAGTAGGTTAGTTTAAGAAATTTAGTTTGTTATAACAAAAATCTATGTCTACATATATTTCTTTATAGTCATGGGAGTAAACAAAATCATCAGGAAATTAAATCATTGCATCAAAAGTAACATTATGAATACCTCTTTCAATCCTCAAATTAGGGTTTTAAGGCATAGTTTCTTGTAATGTAATATTAAATATTATTCGTTAGTTTAAATTTAAAATTCCTTGCCTAGTAATTTGGAAAAGATCTATATTTTAATCTGTCATTTTGAAATGAAATTAAGAAACATCCTAACAGCCTGATATTTTGTATATACCAAATTCTAATATACACGGCAACCCTACTAGGCAATTTTAATATAATTTTAAATTCCATGGGTTTTCTAAATATATTCCGGGAAGCCCTTCTTAGAGTTTGCAATTCTATTCATCATTTTGAAATACTTTTTATAAATTTCTTATATCGAAATTTTACACTGGTAAATCCGTTTTATAACTTATTATCCAGTCGAGCGAGGTATCAATAGTTTCATTAACAATGATTAAACTCAAAGTATTGAACACATTGGAAAACTCATTTGAATCAATAATGATATCAGTCAAATTATTATATGAAAAGCAACCTACATTCGGAGCACTTCTATAGATTATACCATACCAAAATTTGCCATTATAAGAATAAGCTTAACCAACAATTAAATGACTTTTGTCAGTAACTGATTATCTCACCAATTAATTGATATAGATCTAAAATGATGAGTCCTATATACTTGCTAAGTAGAATGGAATAGTGATTGAAGAGTCTGAGGTAAAGAATTATGAATTTCTTATTTTCATAATTCTCATCCTATGTTAAGATAAAACCAAATCATTCGGACTGGAAAAAATTGTCTCTCTAACATAAATATACAGCCAATAGTCCACATATTCCTAAAAATAATGTTAGAAATAAATTAGTTTACAACAAACAGACATTTATATTCATAGGAATTATTGTCATCAAGATCATGCTTGATATATCTACCATTGCTCTAAGTAGTATTATAGTTATAGACAAAATAACCAAAAACATTTCTGAAATTATATGAGATTAGACAACCATAGAAAAGGTCATAAGTTTGCTGGTAATCAAAATTTTCGATGAATAAGCCTGATATTGGTCCTGTCATTAAAAAGTAACGCTCCCAATTCTTTTTTCCATCATTTAGAGATACTTTCATAAATTAAATAGCACTTTAATAAGAAGGCTCATAGACTATGTTTCCTGATATAATCAGATTTAAAAAATCAGGAAATAGAAGAATCGATCTTAATTATTATTGATATTTTTATGATTTTTTAGACCAGGCAACAGTTTACATATCAGCATTAATTTTCACAATAAACTAGCTATATTATTCTGATACTTTTGTACAGATAATTGTCAATATGTTGTCATTTTAATCTAAGAATATTGATTAGTGCATTTCAAAAGGATAATTAGTTTCTGTATAGCTAGTTTTAATTACTTTCCCATCCAAATAACTCAATTTTAAAAATGCTTATCCATATTCTTTGATACTTGGAGATATATTTGCGACATAATTAGTCTTCGCAATGAAAAATCCATTCTTAGATATTGAAGAAAGAGACATAATAAAGTCAAGTGTATATATTTGGTTTTTTGTTTCATCAACATCATATAGAAAAACCCACTGGATTCTGCTCAAACTACTGTCATCTTTATAATAGAATTTGCCAATTATCGGGCTTCCGTAATTAGTACCTCCAAATACGAAAGATTGCTTGTTTTCAGAATCTAAGACCACATGACTTAATCTTTAATTCGAGTAATCATATCCTAAAAATATTGGAAATTGATCTTTTGTGAAGCATTCCTATGAGTTGCTGGTTTATCTTAATGAGAGAGTTTAGCATATCAAAAATACACTTATAATTGCCCGAATCTGCGTAGCGAATGAAGTTAGATTAAGCTTTAAAAGTTTGGATGAATTCTAAACGGTTTGATTATAGTATAAAGTTACTTTCATTGTCATTTTTAAGTTAAATAATAATCTATGGCCAATCTATTATTGATATATAGAATAATTCTACATTAAAAACTAATTTAATACTATTTTTACAAATCTTGCATCTAGGGGTTTTGGGGTTTTGGGGTTT